AATGATCTTCAGAATCTGAGACATGTATAGATCCCAGAGGCATATTCTTGAGGGCTAAGTCTCACTGTTAGCCAAACAGACCTAAAAAGGATAACTTCAAAGGACCTCTTGGTCCAGCATATTCTCTACAAAACTTTTCTTAAATGATGTGTACAAATGAGGAAATCCCATAATAGCAACAACATGGATAGACCATGAAGGTATCATGCTAAGAGAGATAAGTCAGACAAAGAAAAGCACTGTATGATCTCACTTATTATGTGGAATCTAAAGAAAAAAGAGAAGAGAAACCCACCTCCCTCAAACTCTTATAAAAAGAGATCAGATGTGGTTATCAGAGGTGGAAGGTTGGTGAAGGGGAAGTGGAGAAAGGTGATCAAAAGGTACACATTTCCATTATAACATAAATAAGTATTAGGGATACAGTGATGTATATCAATTATTTCTTAATTAAACTGGAAAAAAACGAGTGGCACAAAAGTGCCTTCTTAAGTTTTATCCTTTTCCTCCTAAAATGCTGAATGTAGGAAAACTATTAATAACACGACGAATATTGAGGGGTCAATTTAAAAGGATGTAAATGAATTGATGTTTCATTGTATTGCATATTATTTACTCTCATCACCATGTTACATCAAAACATTTTTGTTTTTGAGGGAAGGGTGTGAGATAAACACCCATATAGTGTCTATCTTAACAATAAAGAGTGTCTGTCATGGTTTTTAGGAATCTGGTATATTGTATGAGGTCGCAGGTGCTGATTTTTAAAACGCAGTGGGAGGGGATAGTTAGGAAGGTTGAGACTGGTTTGTACACACCGCTATGTTAAAAATGGTAACCAACAGGACCTGCTGCATAGCACACGGAACTCTGCTCAACCTTACGTGGCAGCCTGGGTGGGCGGAGAGTGGGGGAGAGTGGATACGTGTGTATGCACGGCTGAGTCCTGCTGGCCACTTCCAACTATCACAACATTGTTCACTGACCATACTCCAATGCAAAATAAAGTTGTTTTCTTTTTAAAGGAAGCTTATAAAAAAGTTCCCTAAAGTGTGTTCCTTCTTTCCTGAAATCTTAGTCATCAAATTGGCTATTTACCCAATTTTACACTGAAAATAAGTCTAAGTGTGGAATCTCCTTTCTAAGTGTAAAGCTCTTCTCATCCAAGTAAATACACAGCGAACTCCTTGATTATCATTTCCAAAAGAAGAAAAGTTGGTATTCTAAAATCAACACTATTCAGGCAAACAGATCTTCCTTTTCCTGCCTGCTTATGTGAAAAAACAGTTTATGACCAACAGTTTTTTTCTTAATTATTTATAAAGAAGGGAAAACGTACTATGCACATAGAGTACCATGTTTTTTAACTTGTATGAATTTTGCTATTCAAATTTCCGTGTAACATGTTATATAACAAATATTACACAGTTACGGATTTTAAAATATGTACATATATGTATAATTTTGAAAGCCAACATTTCTAACTAGTAAATAACATTTTTAATCTGAAACAAAAGTAACTTGGTTGTTTTACTTCTTCAAATTAAATTTTTCTGAACAGTCTCATATTTCAGAACAATTTTCAGCCAAGAAATACATCACAATTGCTTCATTTGTACCTGGAGATGCTGCCTGGTAAATAATCTTATCACCTTCCCGCTCTGGTACTGCTGTGTGACATACCGCCATCATTGTGAGAAATTCACATATTATTGGTGCAGTGGGCTGTAAGAAATAAACACGTAATTTAGGCCCTTTCATTTCACCATTATGACACAATGATAGTAGGATTACTTCATGTATATTTATTGAGCACAACTGTTAAATGTTGAGGGTGAAAGCCAAGAAATCAACACTATGAAGAAAAAATATTTTTTACTAAAATCCTTCAGTTTTGCAACGTCTTCATTCCTTTTCTAAACATTTATTTAAGGCCACTCTTGTTAAATAGAAACAGCACAGTGAAAAAGGCAGATATGGCTGAATCCTGTCTTCAGAGGACAAGAGAGGGATTCTAAAATATTCATTTACCTGGTTCTAATTCCTGATCAGATCTAAGTCTGAAGCATCTAATCTCACTGTGGTCCCACTACTTTGGGTCGCGGTGATGATGGCAGAGGATTCCTCTACGATGCTTTGGTCTCTCTTTCCAAAAACAACAACCATAACCTGACAAGTGTTCTACTAAATAAAAAAGGATTGACTGAGCATGTCCTGTGTAGTCATGGCCTAAGGAAGACAGGATCCTTTCTGCAAGGAGTTTTTGAGTTTATAGGAGAATAGCAACCAGATTTTTGAAATTAAACATCTCCTTTTCTGGTTCCTGATAAAGAAGAGTATCACTTGAATTAATAAAGGAAAAAAATTCCTCCATGCTCTTGGATCAAAAAACTAAAATGACTAGAAAGGTACATCAAAACATTATTTGAAAAAAAACAAAACAAAACTGTGTTCCGGCTAGAACAGCAGACAAATCAGACAAGGCCCCTGCTTCATGATGCTGTGACGTGTGAGGGAAACAGAACACAGACACACACTACACAAGTATCATTTATTTATGGGTTCCCCTGGTGGCTCAGCTGGTAGAGAACCTGTCTGCAATGTGGAGACCTGGGTTCGACCCCTGGGTTGGGAAGATCCCCTGGAGAAGGGAACAGCTACCCACCCCAGTATTCTGGCCTGGGGAATTCCACGCACTGTCTAGTCCATGGGGTGCTGCCAAAAGTTGGACACGACTGAGCAAATTTCACATCATTTATTTATACTGTGAAGAGGGTTACAAAGGATAAAATGTGTGAAAATCATATAATATGATTGGGGTCAGTTTGTGGTTGTTCTCAAGACAATGTGATCTTTAAGCTGATGAAGTTTCAGCCTCACGAAGGACTGAGCACAGAGTTTTCCATCAAGCAGGAAAAACACATGACTGAAAAGATCCTAAAGCAGGAAAGAATGAGGCATGTATGAGAGGATAAAAGAAAGCCAGGATAGCCTGAGGAGAAAGAAAGGGAGGGTGGGTCCAAGTGAGGCTGGTGACTCAGGCAGAGGCTGGATCACGCAACTTTGTAAGTTGAGGGGGAAGCCAGAGAGTGGTTTTCAACACGGCTTGTGCTGGGACTTGACTTCCGCTGGCCTCATTCTAGCTGCCATGTGCAACAAGGATGGGAAGGGTGAAAACGGAAACCGGGAGAATGGTTAGGAGGCTGTTGTGGCAATTTACCTGGGGGATGCTGGCTGTCTTGACTGGGGTAGAGAAAGTGAGAATGAGGTGAACAAGACCTTTAGGACATGCTCTAGAAAGTCATGGGCTTCCCAGTGGTGCAGTGGCAAAGAATCTGCCTGTCAATTCAGGAGGCGCAGGAGATGCTGGTTTGATCCTGGATGGGGAAGATCCCCTGGAGGAGGAAATGGTAACCCACTGCAGTGTTCTTGCCTGGGGAACCCCATGGACAGAGGAGCCAGACAGGCTACAGTCCATGGGGTCACAAAGAGTTGGCCACAACTATGCCACCATGCGTGCATGCACACACACGCGCGCGCGCACACACACTCACACACACAGAAAGCTGCACTGACAAGGGCTTAGTGATTCATCACAGATCTGGAGATGGAGAGGACAGAGGAAGCAAAGCAACCCTAAGTTCCTAGACCGAGTTATGAGGCAGTTGATTGTGTAAGATACTGAACCTGAGAACACAAGGATGAGCTGGGTCTAGGTCTAGATTTTGTGGATCTTGAAGCTCACGTTCTGTTGAGAGCAAAAATATCCACATGAATGCACTGCCAGGGCCCTGCCCAGGGGCAGAGGCGCCAAGTCCACCAGTGCCAGGAAGGGACTGGCTCTGGCTGATGAGCAGGAGTTCAAGTTTTGATGCACGGAGCCTGAAGTGACTGTGAGCAAAGTTGGGGATGAAAACCTAGGCGTGCTCAGTTGCAGCCCCGTGGAGTTGCAGGCCTCAGGCTCCTCTGCCCATGGAATTGTCCCGGCAAGAATACCGAGAGTGTTGTCATTTTCTCCTCCGACCCAGGGATCGAACCCGAGACTCTTATGTCTCCTTCAGCGGCAGGCAGATTCTTTACCACTAGTGCCATTTGGGAAGCCCTTAAACTTCAGAGATCTACTCATTTGATCAGATGGAATTTTAGTAAGTATCAGTAACTTCATAAGTGGAATACTCACATTGGGTGGCAGATGTCTCAAGTTCTTGTTGTATAGATTTAGCACTGGCCTATAATTTTGAGCGTGTAATTAATTTCCATAGATATTTTGAAATTGTTAACAATGAGATGTTTCATATAAATAGAGCTCTAAATTATGTAATATTTTTAAAAAGCCAGAGTATCAATAAATGACAGTGTTAAAAGTAAATTTCTAAAAATTACAGATTCGTGTTGGCCAAGTAAAAATAATTTAGAGACAACAGATTTTTATAATTATTAAAAATGACCATGAAAGTAAAAAATGGAATATGTAAGCATGGAAGGTAATTCAGAGAAACACTCATTAGTTTTCATCTATTAATGAAAAGATAATGGTACTACATTTCTTACATGATTATTTTGGAGGTTTTCCAGCAATGATGAATCACTGAATGTTTTTTCATCTCCAAACTGTGAGCTCTGCCTAAAGGGGAAAAAATGGAGAATATTTGATTCATTTATACAAGCCCGCAGATATACCTGTAAGTTACTTTTAAAATAAATCATTATGCCTACAAGCTCTTTATAAATTAAATCTAATAAATTAAATATAATTTAGTCCACATTTCTAAATAAGATATCACATATTTCATGATTGAATCACAGGATATTTCCAAACATTATAAAATGTGAAAGCCTTTCTCAGTGTTAACAAAAAGTAGCATTTTACCATTCATTTTCCTAGAGTAAAATTATGTTGTAGCCATATGAAGTTTAAAAAAAATTTAATTAAAAAAATGTAACAAAACTGCTAATATGCATGGAATTGAATTTTCCTTTCATAATTTTTCTACTTTCATAATTTTTCCAAGGTTTAAAAATTTTGAGAATTAATGGAGTTGTTATAAAAATAATACTGTTTTACTTTAGCCATGAAAATTGATTTGAAGTGAGTAATACTGTATGATTACCATATGAAACAAAAATATGAATAAACTGATTACACATTTCTTTAACATTTATCACTAACAAATATCTTATATATTTATGTGCATATTACAGTTACTCTGTAAAGGAGAAAAAAGCCATAAAAGTATATATGTGGTTTTGTGTTGTGCTATCTTCAGATCAGCAAACTTGAACTCCATATGAAACAAATCAAATGAGAATTGCCTCTATAATCTAGCTATTACTAATCTCATAGCCATGCAATTTAATATCAAAATGTTGAGATTCAAAGGAAGGACAAGGAACATTTAAGTGGAAATGTCAAACCCCAAGAGTATACTTTTTACCGTTCAGTGAAAATATATAGATCTAAAGCTTTTGTGCACAGAATGAAATTTCAGAAGTCGTTGAGGAAAAAATAATGTGTTCAATATTAAATAGCTTTAATCCAGAAAGCTTTTAATCATAATTTTTACAGGTTACAAAGAGAATTATCAGTGCCAATGTGCCAAATATCAAGAGTTTCATATTTTAAAGCCAGCTGCTTGAAAGGAAGGAGAAATCATTGAAGAAAAAAAAAGAATGTAAAATAATTTAAACTAAACCAGATCATCAATATATGTAAATATCTTTTTAACCATACACCATAAAAGGAAGTTAGAGTTTTACAATAAAATACATCTTTATTAATGTGTAACACTTTGATCTATTGATTCTCAATATTATAATATAATATGCCTTTCTTAGCACATAGATTAGAATTCTCAAAAACATCACTAGGAAACAGAATGAACACATTTTATTATTATAATTATTTTAATAATAATAAATTGTTTATAAAATAACAAATATTTATTAATTAAAACTCCTCCTCTTCTTAGTATTAAAGATGAAAAGTCCAAGAACTTTTAAACAACTTATCAATTGGCAGGCAGAAAAAATTAACATACATTTCTCCTCTAAATATTATCATTCTAAAGCTTATTATTCAGGGCTCTATAAAATTTCCCTATTATTTATAAAATATATTCATTATTGGTTCTTAGTTATACTTTCCCACTTATTAGATAAATTGAAATTTCAAGGAATATTCACAGTAACATCTTGCATGTGGAGGTCTATCTTCCTTCTAAAGAATTCTGGACTAAAAGCTTTTATAAATTTGAAGATGTGTCTTATTAATCTCACCAGTAAGTCTTTCATTTCATAAATCACAGTTACCACAATTGATAAAACTTTCAAACGTATTTATAACAAATAACACTAGATATGCAACTGAAATGTTTACACGGACACAACCTGCCCTCCATTCACCAGTGAAATCTTCTGACGTAGAAAATGCTAACTCTTCTCCCAGAAAGGAGCTTCCTTTCCAAGATCACAAAATCATCAGCATTTCATCTGCTAATCACACAGGTATGGATAACTCAGATATGGTGCTCTCATCACCCCTATCTGAAATCTCACAAAATGTCCACTTTTAGTAAAAGTAAACAGATAAAATTAGGAAGCTCAAAGTCATTTCAAAATAAGAACCAATTGCATAAATGTAAAATAGATTAAATTGTTAGCTGACAAAGCTATTTGAATTTGCAAACTGTGCATACATAAAAGTGTAAGCCAACATCTACATTTTGTTAAAACTTTTCATAGAAGTTTTCAAGTGACACTTTGCCTTATAAGGAGACAAAGAAATGGTGTTTTGCAAAAAGAGACAAAGAAGACAAAGGAGACAAAGAAATTATGGTGTTTTGCAAAAAGCAATAAGGCAGGGGGTGTAACAGTTAAGATAAAGTGAAAAATGAGCAGTTAATCCAGTGTCATATAATTTACTGCTTCTTGTAGGCTGATTTAAAAGCTATGATACATTGCAAATAATTATTTCCTAATCATCCAAAAATGAAGAATCCTCATAGCAATAAAAATGAGAAGATTCAGAATTTTATGGATAAACATAAATTACAATAAGTGTGGCCTGATCAGTATTAGGAACCAGAGAAGATCAAATTGCCAACATCCGCTGGATTATAGAAAAAGCAAGAGAGTTCCAGAAAAACATCTATTTCTGCTTTACTGACTATGCCAAAGCCTTTGACTGTGTGGATCACAACAAACTATGGAAAATTCTGAAAGAGATGGGAATACCAGACCACTTGACCTGCCTCTTGAGAAATCTGTATGCAGGTCAGGAAGCAACAGTTAGAACTGGACATGGAACAACAGACTGGCTCCAAATAGGGAAAGGTATATGTCAAGGTTATACATTGTCACCCTGCTTATTTCAATTATATGTGGAGTACATCATAAGAAACGCTGGGCTGGAGGAAGCACAAGCTGGAATCAAGATTGCCAGGAGAAATATCAATAACCCCAGATATACAGATGACACCACCTTTATGGCAGAAGGTGAAAAAGAACTAAAGAACCTCTTGATGAAAGTGAAGGAGGAGAGTGAAAAAGCTGGCTTAAAACTCAACATTCAGAAAACTAAGATCATGGCATCTGGTCCCATCACTTCATGGCAAATAGATGGGGAAACAGTGGAAAGAGTGATAGACTATTTTTTGGGCTCCAAAATCACTGCAGATGGTGACTGCAGCCATGAAATTAAAAGACATCTGCTCCTTGGAAGAAAAGCTATGAACAACCTAGACAGCATATTAAAAAGCAGAGACATTACTTTGCCAACAAAGGTCCGTCTAAGTCAAGGCTATGGTTTTTCCAGTAGTCATGTATGGATGTGAGAGTTGGACTATAAAGCTGAGTGCCGAAGAATTGATGCTTTTGAACTGTGGTGCTGGAGAAGACTCTTGAGAGTCCCTTGGACTGCAAGGAGATCCATCCAGTCCATCCTAAGGAAGTCATTCTTGAATATTTATTAGAAGGACTGATGGCTGAAGCTGAAACTCCAATATTTTGGCCAGCTGATGCGAAGAGCTGACTCATTTGAAAAGACCCTGATACTGGGAAAGATTGAAGGCAGGAGGAAAAGGGGATGACAGAGGATGAGATGGTTGGATGGCATCACCGACTCAATTGACACGAGTTTGAGTAAACCCCGGGTGTTGGTGATGGACAGGGAGGCCTGGTGTGCTGTAGTCCATGGGGTCGCAAAGAGTCGGACATGACTGAGCAACTGAACTGAACTGAATTGAATCAATATTAGTTAATTTCATACATGACAGTGTGGACTACAAAATCATGTCAAATGAAGAGATAAATAACAATTTTTATTTAACTTAAAAAACAATTTAGGAGTAGAAACACCTAGTATTCAGAAAAGAAATAGAAAACACTGTCTGCATAAAGTTAAAATACTTCTGCACAGCAAACACTATTATAAGCAAGTCAAAAGCCAAATGACAAACTGGGAAGAGAACTATTTCCAACACATAAAATGGTTACTTTATTCAAAATGAAAGGTTAATTCACTCAAAATAAAAAGGGCTCATAGAAACTCACACTAAAAAGATCAAGAATGCAATAGAACAATGAGCAAAGGATATAAACACAGTTCACAAAGAAAGAAATAGAAGTGGCTTTAAATATACATTCAATCTTACCACACGATGAGAGAAACGAGATTTAAATTTATCAATGTGGCAGAAACAGTTTGACAACCCTGCTGCTATAATCTTGGAAAAATAGATAAACCATCTACCATTGATGAGAATGAACACTGGTACAATTTCTAAAAACGAATATTGGCAATGAAAGTGAAAGTCACTCAGTTGTGTCTGCCTCTTTGTAAGCCCATGGACTATATACAGTCCATGGATTTCTCCAGGCCAAAATACTGGAGTGGGTAGCCATTCCCTTCTCCAGGGGGTATCTGCCCAACCCAGGGGTCGAACCCAGGTCTCCCGCATTGAAGGCGGATTCCTTACCAGCTGAGTCACAAGGGAAGCCCAAGAATACTGGGGTGGGCAGCCTATCCCTTCTCCAGCTGATCTTCCTGACCCAGGAATCAACGAACCAGAGTTTCCTGTGCTGCAGGCAGATTCTTTACCAACTGAGCTATCAGGGAAGATCCTGATATTGGCAATATCTAACAAAATTTAAAATCAATACAATTCTTTGAGATCCAGGAATGCCAGTTTCTGGAATTACAGTCTATTCTGTACTTACACTGTCTCCTGCAGAAGGCTGTACGTACAAATTCATTCTTTGCAGCACACTTTTAACAGCAAAAGGTTAGACCTAACCCAAAGTTTTACTAGGGCTGTTGCTTAAAAAGACTGTGGTACATCCACATAATAATAATGGAACACTATACAAAAAAAGGGAGGCTGTCCACGGAATATGGACAAATCTCAAAGATGTACCATCAAATGAAAAGCTGGTATCAAAGTGTGTGCAATATCTTTCACTTTGGGTAAAAATGAGAAAGAAAAACATGCATACACGGTAGAATAGATCTGGAGAAATAAACCTGAAATGGGTTACACTGACTGCCTTCAGGTGGGGAAATGGAGAGTCAGAGATAGGGAAGAGAGGTGTTACTGCATTATCAATTTACATAAGTCAAATTTAAATTAAAGATGAAAACCAGAACAAAATCCGATTATGAGCTGAAACATACATTCTACATGTAAACTCAATGCATGCATTATATACATACAGACGCTACGCTGAAACATACACTCTACACACAAACTCAATGCATACATTATATACATACAGACACTACACTAACATACATTCTACATACAAACTCAATGCATGCATTATATACATAGACGATATGCTGAAACATACATTCTACACACAAACTCAATGCATGCATTATATACACACAGACGCTATACACACCCATGTATGGGAAGACAAAGGCAGTGTGACAAAAATACTGTTTTCTGAATGGATCTGTACCTTCTGGCTTTGAACAGTGCTACTGTTCCAAATCAGAATTCCTAGAAGGGTGATTAATGTTCAAAAATGAAATTGCTGTTCAGCGTCAGGTCAAGTCCAAGAATATAAAGAAGTGGTTGAGTTCAAGAATAATACTTTTTTCTTAGACACTAGTTTTCATCAATGTGGGCTGCTTTTCTGGGTGGTTCTAAAGGATTTCGGAGGGCAATTACAAAAGAGGAGTTCCAAAAACATTCTGTGAAATGGTCCCTTGGCTGGAATAAATAAATGACTTGTCAAAGGGGCTACTCTGAAGACTAGCTAATTTGGATGTGTTAGATTTGGTTACTATACAGTCACACCTGGAAGAATGTTTTAGTGAGCCTAGTGATGGCAGCAGAATAAATAAATACCACCCATTTCATACATACATACAAACCAAAATGAAACGAGAAGAGAAGACCAGAAAATGGTACTATCCAGTGATATGTGCTAATGCTAAAAGCCACAGTAAAATGACTAGGCACAGAATACTTATTTGGGATTTTCCTTAAAGTAATAGTGGGGGAAAATACAGATGAACTGAAACTCGCTTTGAGTACATATTATTGAAATGAGTGAATGAGTACATCTGTTTTCTTTCTTTTCTTTTCTTCTTTTTTGAGTACATCTGTTTTCTACTGTTATTTATGCTTGAGATTTCCCCCAAAAAATCAGAAAAAGAAAAAAATGTAACAAAATATATAGCTTTGGAATATAATCTTATCTTAGGGCTATATGGATGCTTATAATTAGTAAATATTTTTGTGCAATCCTCCAAATATTGATACTGTCTAAAGAATGGTAGATTTTAATAGAAATGCATTAACCTTCAAGGTTATGTCAGCTGATGTAGGGCACTTGGCAATAACAAGAAAACCATCCCAATTCTGCAGGAAGTGGCTATTGGTTGGGAAATGATTTAAGCGAGTAGTTACCGCCATTATCCAATTATTTTTAATGTCAAGGAAGTGTTTTTGAAACTGTCACTATAATAGTTTGCCATCAAATTTGACTAAATGTAAATAATCTACATATTTCTGTTGTTCAGTTGCTGAGTTGTGTCCAACTCTAAAAATCTACATACACGTATGCGTTAAATAATATGTGTTTTTTAACTTGGTATTTTTGTGGCAAATACGGTTGAAGAATGATAGTAAAATACATGGTATAGGTCACAGATTTTATCTATAGAATCGATGAACTTCACATTGAAAGGCAAAGCTGCTGACAGTCAGACAAGAATCAACTTTAGGATTTTGGATTTACAGAGTCAGCGGTACTCTACAGTTTACCCGAGGACCAGCAGCTCATTCAATCAGGACCACGCTTTCAATCTTGGCTTCACTGGCGATATGAAATCAAGTGGACTCGATCTGGCAAATGCCAGATTTAGGGTTGTGACAAGCTGTGTCCCCCCAGGCTAACTTTTCTCATCAGCCAGTTAAACTATACTTGCTCTTGCTACCCTAACAAAACAAGAGAGAAAAAATGAAATAACAAATAGTAAGGATACCTTTTCTCTAAATGCAGATATTTCTGAAGCTCTTTAAAGTCTATTGGATGTGATATAACCAGCACCTACTTAATACTCAGGTTGAGCAAGGTTTTAACTTTTTCTCCCATGTTTGCTGGTTGTATACTTTGAGGGAAGTTACTTATTAGCTTCTCTGCTTAAATTTCACCAGCGTCAATTCAGTTCAGTTCAGTTCAGTTCAGTCGCTCAGTCGTGTCTGATTGTTTGCAACCCCATGAACCGCAGCACGCCAGGCCTCCCTGTCTATCACCACCTCCCGCAGTTTACTCAAACTCATATCCATCAAGTTGCTGATGCCATCCAGCCATCTCATCCTCTGTCGTCCCTTCTCCTCTAGCCCCCAATCCCTTCCAGCATCAGGGTCTTTTTCAATGAGTCAACTCTTCGCATGAGGTGGCCAAAGTACCGGAGTTTCAGCCTCAGTCCTTCCAATGAAGCTTCCAATGAAGCTTCAGTCCTTCCAATGAACACCCAGGACTGATCTCCTTGAGGATGGACTGGTTGGATCTCTCTGCAGTCCAAGGGACTCTCAAGAGTCTTCTCCAACACCACAGTTCAAAAGCATCAATTTTTGGTGCTCAGCTTCAATTACAACTCCTCAAATACGTCTTGAGGATTAAGTGAGAGACACTGGAGCTAACACTGAGATATTCTTCTAAGCACTTTAAAAACAGAATTCATTTAATCTTTGCAACCTCCCTATGATGTCTACATTCTACCCAATGAGGACCCACAGGCAAAGAGATTAGATAGCTGCTCCAGAGCAGCATTAGGACTAGGATGTGAACCTGAGTGGTCAACATCGAAGTCTGCATCCTTGACAAATGCTCAGGACCCAGGACACAACTAAAGTTCAAGTCGTAGCTGTTCCTTCATCTTTGCTGCTTATAGGTAACCACTTGATAGATCAGGAAATCCAAGTAGATATTTAAAATAAAGCTCACTCTATTAAACAGTTGGCAAAAACCTTCCCTAGTGTTTATTTCTTAAAATATCATTAATATCTAAGTTTATATGTAATTGCAAGTGGAACTATACAAAAATTTATGAAAAAGTTGACATTTTAAAATTTGGAATTACTCAGTTTAGAATATCAAGTTTCCAGAAAGGGTGTTTTACATTAAAAAATTTAAACAGATAAAATAATGTCTCTTCCCAATAGTGATAAAAATCATGAAATAACCTTGACTGAAAGGAGAATATTTTAAATGACCCAGGTAAACAACGGTTAACATTTTCATCCAGTCTTAATAAGAATATGGTGAAGGTAATTTCCTTCTCAAGAAAAAGTGATTTATCTTAGAAAAAATATATATTCTAAAAATAAAAATATATATTTAATTCTATTGAAAAGCAACAAGTAAAAAGATATAATCAAAATTTTAACTAGGTTCTCAAAAGATTAAGTAGAAGAGACTATCTACATCATTACACTTGAATTATCCACCAACAGTAAGGTGTTTTGGCACATTTAAAAGACACTTAAAATTATTCAGTTGTGGGTAGGTGTTGAAATGCATGACACTCCAAGCAATGAGCTTAAGTGTAATGAATCATCAGTTATCACATGAACCAAACAGCTGCCTCTGTCATTAACTCTAGGTAGTATGAGGCTTACTGCAAATTGTTACCAAATCTCCACTTTATTGAAATAAAATCCAAGTGGAAAAATAAGGCTTAATCATAAAATACCCTGTGTCATCTGAAAATAGAAAAGTAATCACATATAAAGCCATACTATTTTTTACAGTTACCAGCATTAAAGAAATCTGCTTTCTGAAATTTCATTTGCCACCAGATTGCAATGAATTATTGAGATAAACTCATGTCATTCTAAATGAAAATGTAAACCATGGTGAGGATTTTAACGTAAGACAAAAAATCCAATATGTATGGAAATTAAGGTTATAAAATGCTATTCAATAATTCTAAAATTAATTATATTCCTGTTAACCCTAGTCCTTGGTAGCATACTTTCCCAACATTTGTTCCAGATATCTCATTTAAAAATGCTTATGTTCTAGCCTCCAAACCGACTTAGCAAATTAATGAAAATAAATGTAAAGGAAATTTTCACTGTGTGGTTATGTTCAGTAGCATTTTTCTGTAGCTCTGTAGAGTATACAAACAGTGGCAGAAGGTGGCAGTGCTGAGCTAAAAAAAAATAAAATTTATGAAGCTGTCCCTGAAATCTTAGGTAGTCCACAGCCCAGGGACTCTAAGTTGATTGTTATAGATTTTACTATAGCTACATAGCTCCATAAAACCAGCAAGCCTAAACTTTGAACTAAATGTTCATAAAGTGATTAAAGGTTACTCAACAGGACATCAGGGCTATTCAACGATTTGTTTGGTTTTATTCGGCAGATTTTAAGAGATACTTTGCAGCACTGTCATCCTGCCTGATCAGTCATTTTTTTTCAAAGTAGTGAAGTGGATCTAACAAAACAATAAAATGCAAACGTTTTAAATGGATCAACGGGACAGAAAGACCCATGCAGCTTACCATTCATCGGGAGAGCAGCCATAATCCTCGGGCTCAGGGACATGGCTTCAGAAAGCGGGAGGAGAGACACAAAGAAAGGAGAAAACAATCAAAGGAGGGCTGGGAGCACAAAAGCGTGAAAGAGGGAAGCGCTGAGAGACGTGCCAGTCAAGGAGATAAACTTCCAGCTGACTTGCAAAGAAGGGCAGTTAGTACAGAAAGTATAATTTATGGTAACTAGGCAGATTTACAAAGTTGTTCTTTCATGGGATAGCCACCTTGCCTCTTCACCATGAAATTTCCCAATTTTATGCACAGGTATCAATATTCAGTAGAAAATATTAAACTTCAAGTTTAAATACAGGCTAAAGTCAATGTAAAATTCATCACACAATGCATAATGAGAATAAAGGGTTTTAATTAAAAAAACATGTTACTAAGAATAAACCATCACACTGATAAAATCTGCCAAGTACATTTCAGAAACAAATTTGCCTCCAAGGAGGGGTGGTTCTTTAAACAGGTATATTAAAGTAAAAGTTAGTTACATTGCTATAGCTAAAGAGTACCACACTGCAAAAGATGAACATTTTAAAAGATACTCAAAAACGTTCACTTAAACCATAACTCAGCCGTTAAACAATTCATTACATCAAAAGAAAACACATTCATCAATACTTCATTTTCATCCATTGGCTCATCTGAGCACTGGATGTATGTATAGCTTTCATTTCAACCAACCAGTGATGTGACAGAAATGGTCCATAATACATGACAGAGCAGATTTTATTTTACTTCTTTATATATTTATTTACTAAAATTTTCTTTTTATTGTTCAGATTTTTTCCCGCTGTCTTGAGACATATGACACTGTGCGAGCTTAAGGCGCACAGGATGACCTGATGCTGATACACGCTGCCAAGCGACTGCCTTCATGCGCGTGTGTGCTAACTTGCTTCAGTCGTGTCTGACTCTTTGTGGCCCCATGGACTGTAACCCACCAGGCTCCTCTGTCCACGGGGTTTTCCAGGCAAGAACACTGGAGTTGGTTGCCATGCCCTCCTCCAGATCTTCTCGACCCAGGGATTGAACCTTGGATTGTTCTATCATAGTTTTAGCTAACACTCCCATCCATCACCTAATTACCATTTCTTTTTTTGTGGTAAGAACATTTAAAATCTACTCTCTCAGCAGCTAAAGCAGATTTCCTTATTTCTTGTTTCTTTCATTATACAAGGTCATTCAATAGTTTTCCTTTAAATTAAATGTATTAGATGTAGGTAGAGTTTAAAGATGCAGAGTTCAGTATAAAGCCACTGTTTTTGTTAAATATACAATGTTCACTGAAAACTGGGGAACATCCTCTCACTTCCTAAGTGGCCTCTACTTCTCACCCTTCCACCAAACTGGCCATGCACCGACCTCACCACTCTAAGGAACCTCCGAACCATCAACTGTCTCCAGGGCCGGCTCCAACCACCCCCTTCACTCCAATCACAGTGGGGGGGGGCGGTCTCCTTACTCACTGCCCTCTTTTCTACCAAAGGATGCTTTTAGATGCTTGAGGGGAAGGACTAAATGGGCCCTCAGCGAGCCCAGAAAAAGCCAAGGCCTCCTGCCGAGCTCTGTGAAAGCCGGCTGCAGCCCAGGGCTCTAGGCATCACTCCTCATCAACCTCGGGGCTGAGATGAGTCCCCGAACCACAGCAGCGGAGGGTCTGATGCTACCCCGGCAAAAGCCCTGCACCAAGGCTCTGCCAAGCAGCCTCGGTGGTGTGCAGCAGACCGGGACCTCCTACTGGGAGAGGGGCTGGGCCTCAGGGCTCAGGGCCGCGCTCCCGGCTGTGGTTCAACCCTGGCTGACGTCCAGGGCTATTCTGAAGGAGATGCGCAGCGGGCGACCCGTACGTCTGTTACTTTATTCCGTCTGCAGGAGTTTCCGCAAGACCACTGCCCTGGTAGCTCTGATGTGTGACCTCTGTCTGGCTATTTGCCGTGGGAGGTCAGTGTTCTTACATCTGCTTGCTGAGTTCTTAAACGCATTCTTGATCTCAGCGTGAAGCATCCCAGAGCCTGGTCTCAGCAATTAGATCACACCTCCACCGTGTCCCCAGTCACAGCCTCACACAGACCTTTGTACTGCATTATGATTTTATAATGGTCTGCCTGATGATTTAATTACATCCATCAACCTCCAATTAGACTATAAACTTCAGGGGGGTGGAAGCCAGGTGAACTTTGGCTGATCATTAAATCCCCAACATCTAACAAAGTACTACATATTATACATAGAGATGAACACTTGTTGAGGCATGAGAATAAACGAATGGTTTTTACCCAGCTTTATCTACCAGCTATGGTGAGAAGTGAGATACGTTTATTGGTTATAATATAGACCTTGGGGCAATTTTGATAATTGTGAGGTTTGTCACGGTGAGTTTCCTCTCAAACTTAAAGAAGTTGCCAATTCTTTCAGCAAACATTGCTAAACAAAATATTGTCAAGTAAAACTACTCACATGCTATTTTCACATGTAAATAAAGATTATTATTAGGAGCATTTAGTTTTCACTTAAAGGGGAAAAGTCAGTGAAATGTTTTTAATACTGATTAAAATGACTTGCCCATACAAAAATATAATATTGTTTAATTTGCTTTACAGACTCTTAAAAAAAAAAGAAAAACCAAAAAACTTTTCCCAATTCATCAGCTCATTCTAATAGTAAGATTTTAAATTATCAACAAAGACAGTTCTTAGGACTTTAGCCGAGAATAACCACTGTATTGAGAATTCTACCCACTGAAAACATAAAAACCTCATTACCTATTTCTGGCTTTCAAGTAACTGTGATAAAACTGAATTAGTATAAGAAGTAATTTGTTGAAATTATGCCTTGGTAAATGTTTAACAGCAGAATTTCTAGTTTTTAATAAGCTAAATTTATAAATATGATATCACAATTATTTACATTTAACTAACATCTAATGACACAGCCTAACAAGTTTAATCATGGCGGTACTTCTGACAAAGTTAATCTTTACAAAATAAACATCATTGCTGGGTGTGTACGAAATCTTTTATTTCATTGACCATCATGAATCCAATTTAGGGCCAAAGTTAAAAAAAATGAGGGAAAACTTACTAAGACTAAATTTTGGAGCCTTGTTTTATTATGTTTGATAGCCTTGTTAAATATCTTCCTACAAATCTATAAAATACACTGAACGAGGTAAAGATTATACTACCAAGAGACTTTAGGTCTTGTCTTTCAAACTGATAAAAGCCAACAGAACTCATCTTGGACTCTGTGTAAGGTAGAAAGAGATTTTATTTTCTTAAAAAGTGCTTAAGAAGCATCAGCTCTGAAATCATAACCCTAAAGGCATTTGTTAGTATATAAAACTATGTGTTATCTTCCTTTGTTTTGCTAAATTCTGAGACAATCTCTACGTTTTCTTCTTCTGGAGGTGAAAGTATACATGGGTATTAATAATAGCTCCCCATGTTAAACACACCATGGGCAGACAGGACAATATAACCACGTTACGGCTCCTTTAACCCAAGAGCGCCAGAGGAAATGCCTACAGGAAGGTGGTTTTCAGTCGTGACTCTTTCCTGTGGAGTTTGACAGAATTAAGTAAAAACTGCGTGTCTCTCCTACTGTATTCAGCTGAGGAGTCTAAAGTCTCTGCTTCTCTAAAGCTTTCCCATATCAACAACTCTGCAGCGCTGACGTCCCAGCTGTCCATCAGAAATGCTTAGGGGAGGGGATGGGACAATTGCTTCTGAGGTCAATAACTTTATGAGTTTTCTAGTATTGTTTCTTAAAGAAAAGGAGCCTTTGTACTTTTAAGTATTATATAAATTTATCATATTGGGTGAGAGTCTGAGGTTTCTGAACTGGAAACTTCCAGAAATCTATATCTCCATGCAGGTACCATAAATATAAAGTAATAAAAGAATAAAAAAGCTCAATCAGGGTTAAGGATTCTAAAAGCACATACATGATTTACTGGAAGTAGTTTAACAACAAGTTTCACTTAACAAGGCTCATGGTATTCTTGAAAATATGATACATTATCCAAAGTGAAATCCATTTTTATTTCACAGTTAAAAACTGTTTAAATTTCTAAACATCATACAATTTCAGATCTGAAAAGAATCTTGGAGATCAGCTGGTCTCACCATTCTCATTTTAAAGAGTTTGAAAAATTTGAATGGAACTGTCTAAGGTCATACAGTGAATGAATGACAAAGCTAGAATTATGACTCATGTCTTGCAACTGCAGCTCAATGTTAAGATATGTGGTTTTCCCAAGAGGAAATTTGTTTCATTGGAAACAATCTAAATCATGACAATACTTAACTCTCTTTAACATTTACCAGTCTCAAACCCACTCTATCACAATATATAATACATGTGTTCATGATAATATCACCAATAGACACATGAAGAACATTGTTCTTTAGAACTACTGCCTATAAGTGCTTAAGAACTTATTCCAGGAATAAGAAAAACCTTGTAAAATGCAAAAGAACACCTAGCTATTATTCTGGTTCTCTGTTCCGATAGGTTCACAATCAATAACTACTAATTTGAAGAACTTGCTTATTTAACTGAACAAAGTAAAAAACGGATGTCAATATTACCAAAACAGAATCCTCTAAAAATAACATTTATGAATGCAAGCAGAATGTGCATAAAAACAAACATCACCATCAATTTGTCACCAAGTATAATACAACAAACTCTAGAATCACAACAGGCCCTTTCTTCTCTCATCAGGGATAACTGTGGGTCAAATCCTTAAGTGCGAAATGTCAGAGAGTTATCACACCTCTTCTGTACCAGCAGCCAAACAAAGAGGCCTGAAGCAACCGGGGCAGGAGAGAGGAAGTTCTCTTTTGTCTAAAGGAACTGGCAGATCTTCAGATAAAGAGGGAAGATGCAAAAGGGTATCCTGCCCTGGAAATAGATAGTAAGCCTGCTTCTTAAATTAGCAGCTTGTCCTTACAGTGTAAAAAAGCCATTCAGTCAAATGTATTTTTAGCTTCACTTACCCACAAACTTTACAGTCACTTTCGGTCATCCTTTCTACTAACCCAAAGAAGAGGCATAGCTGCCTCCATCTATTCCTCTTTACAGACCACGGAGGGGAGTCATCACATGCTTTTAGAACTCCTTACCAAGAGGTTATTTATTTATACTTTTAACTAAGGGCATTTTCATAATTCAGTACACTATTTTTATACTAGTTTACTGCTTAGAGACAGAGCAGGAGTGGGGAAGTGGGGGTCCAAGCCAGAAAAACCCCAAAGCAAGTGTCCTTGCTTGCATGGTTAAGACACCAGTCTTTTGCTGGGAAATTTGATAAAAGGCCAGGATCAATCACCCAGAAGGATGTTTCATCTGTGATCATGACTTTTCAGGAGATGCAGAAATTAATTTTCTCACATTACCCTATAAAGTGTTTCAAAAAGGAGGCTTTTGAAGTTTAGGCAAGCATACCTAGAATTAAGAAAAAAATGGGTGCTCAGCAAGCACATTCTAAAGGACAGATTCTATGACTGCAAAGAGGAGAGGTGATAAAAAGAAACCAGAGGGCTAGCTCTCAGAGAAACAATGTGCTTTAACACAGGCAGGCTGCATGGCAAGTTTATGGCAATGGACAGGGAGTGTATTTATACCTTATTGCCAGCGTCAGATCAGAGATCTGCGGGGCAGCTCTAAATACTAAAATATTATTGGGTAGGGTGCCTACCTCATCGTAATTCCAAATGAAAAACAATACCAAGCTATAAAACATAAAATGTACATGCATGCTGAAGTCAAAACAGCTGCTTTCTAGATTAAAAAAAAAAAACCCTTGTCTAAAAAGAACTCCAATTGTACCAAACTGTTAACACTAATTAAATGTGTACATCATAATGCTGATTAAAGGGAAAAAACTCACCCGTAAGCCACTCCGGCTATGGTGCACTTCTTAAACTGCATGACATTGCACGTCAAAGTACCAGTTTTGTCAGAAAATATATATTTTACCTAAAAAAATGTAAAATTTCTCATTAGAATTTCGGAGATCATTTTAAGCCAGTCTTTTATTAAAGGGCTTAAAAAAAAACACCCTTTCATTATTATTCTTTTAATCAGTTATGTTACACTGCAGGGGCACAATGTACTGTGCTGTGCTGAGTCACTCAGTCACGTCTGACGCGCTGCGATCCCCTGGACCGCAGCCCGCCAGGTTCCTCTGTCCATGAAAGTCTCCAGGCAAGAATACTGGAGTGGGTTGCCATGTCCTCCTCCAGGGGATCTTCCCGATCCAGGGATGGAACCCAGGTCTCAAGCATGGTAGGCGGATTCTTGAATGGTATGAATTGACTACTTTCTGCTCATCATCAAGGAATATTTTCAACTATTTCTTCTAGCTTTTTAGCAGAGAATCATATATGAAGTGAAATTCTCTCAAGCTAGCAGAGAAACTACAGCCATACAGAATTCTGCCTTAACAGTCTGAATTTGCACTAGTAAGTGCCTCTATGGTTACTTAACATGTGCTTGCCTGCATGCTTAGTTGCTTCAATCCCATTCAACTCTGCGACCCCATGGACTGTATTCCTCCAACTTCCTCGGTCCGTGGGACTCAGAGCACTAAAATATCTTTCAACACTTCTCAACAAAACAATTATGGGATTGGTGATGGCTTGCTTAAAAATAACTTGATACAACATCTGAATTGGTAAGAAAAAAAAACAGCTTTGGTTTAAATGCTACCTTAAGAGTAAGACTTAGCAAATGGCAATGGTACAAGAAAAGCAGAATCCTTTCTTAGGATTACATATAATCCTAATTGAATTACAAATATATGCATATATGTGAATTAATTACACATAAATGAATTACAAATATATGCATATATGTGAATATAGTATGAATTATAAATTTTTTTTTTCATTTATTTTTATTAGTTGGAAGCTAATTTCTTTACAATATTGTAGTGGGTTTTGTCATACATTGACATGAATCAGCCATGGATTTACATGTATTCCCCATCCCGATCCCCCCTCCCACCTCCCTCTCCACCCGAT